AAAATAAAAAATAAAAAACAAAAAATAAAAAATTAATCAATCTCAATACATTAAAGGTGATAGAGGTTAAAAAAAAAAAAAAGAAAAAAAAAAAGAAAAGGTCTCAACTTCTTTTCCTTAATATTTTAGAGACTGTATGTGCGTGAACTTTCTCATTTTATTGATCACGTGGACTCTGGTGGAAGATGAGCCAGCAAAGTACCAGACTCACTTTACCCAATACATAAAGAGAGGTATTGAGCCAGATGGCATTGAGGAGAAGTACAAAAAGTCCATGCAGCAATACGGGCTGATCCCAGCCCAAAGAAATCCCAGAAGAAGTCACCAAAGGAACACCAGGGCCGGCCCTCGGTTTTAGGGGCTTAAGGCAAATTTCGAAAATGAGGCCTTTCTTATGTTGAAAAAAAAATATTATGGATAAAATAATAATTTATAATTTTTTTATTTGTTTATAGTTACAAAAAAAATTTACTTACATATATAATTATTAAAATTATAAAAAAACAATTTAATGAAATAAAATTAGGACAAAAAAATTAAGAAAAATTATTCAATTAAAACTGATAAAGATCTAGGTAAAAAAATTAGGGCAAAATTATTTATTTGATAAAGATCTAGGTAAAAAAATTAGGGTAAAATTATTTATTTCACTAAAATCTAATAAATAAAGAAGGTAAAAAAAAATTAGGACCTATATATTGCATGTATTGTTCTTTTTCGACCCAAATACTTTTTTTTTAATATATATTTTCATTTTAATAAATATGGAACAAACTACACATATAAATAAATATAGGTTAAACCATACATGGATCCAATAAAATATTTTGGGCCCTTTAAATTGATCCTAAAAAAAAACATTGGGCCTATAACATTTTATTAAATTTGAGGACCCTATTTTTGGGTCAAAATTTTAGAGCCTTAGGCCAGGGCCGGCCCTAAGGAGCACAAGAGGTAATCACTACAACATATAAGAGTTTCTAAATGTTTTGGTCTTTAAAAGTAAAAAATTTTGTTATAAAAGATATTTAGAAACTAATTTCTCTCATTATGAGGATAATCGCTAAAAGGTCGTCTCAAAAAGTCAAAATCAAGACTTTTAGTGACAAAAATTTTAAAATGTCACTAATAAATAGACTTTTAAAGACAATAATTTGGTCTCAAAATGCTTTATTTTTTGAGACAAAAAATTTGGTTCCAAAAGGATAATAATTCATCACTAATATATAATTTTTGTTGCTAAAAATATAATGACGACATTTTTCGCAACAAAATTATTTAGTCCCTAAAAAATAATTTTGTCTCTAAATTTTGGTGTCTAAAATTTTAATTTTTTTTTTTTTTTGGGTAGTGAATGCAAAATGATTCTAATGTGTTCTTATTTGTTTGATATGTATGACTGTAAATTTATTAATGTTCTATGCCAGGATTGTATTTTTAGTTAACTATTATATTAGGCCATGACCACATTTTGTCTCTACTTCAGCCAATGTGTAAACTTTTCCCACTATTTTGAATTTAAAATAACTGGAATAAGTGCAAATAGACTGTAATATTGCAACCTTTATGTGGGGTACATCAGTAGTAATTTCTCTTCCTTCATTAGTTTCTCTCTTTCACTTCTTTCTCTCTTTTCAATATTTTTATAGGACAATGATAACATTAATTGTGCTTTTGAGGAGAGGGTATTATATGAGCTAGTGAGCTAATGGAGAGTTGACCATGCTGTTGCCATAGTACTAGACTCTTGCGCTTATTCTTCTGAAGAGAAGTTGGCAAAGAGAATTAATGCATCATCTTTTTATTTGTGCATGTGCACATTTCCACCTTCATAGAAAAAGCTTTAGAAACATAATTCATTCCATTGGACCAACTTTTTTGTGTTTATTATTCTTATGGAACCGTGCCATTAATTCATTGTTGCATATTTAAATTTCAGCTAGTATAGACCAAGAAGACTAGAGTTACGTGCAATCTTTGAAGTTTCAACTATTGTTTATGGTTAACAGTACAAAAATGCCAACACACTCTATGACACTTGCATATTATTGATATACAATGTGAGACTGATTGTATTAATGGTAGTCAAGTGTATACTATTGCCATCTGATGTGGCACACAAATATAGCATTCCCATGTTCATCTTATGCTATTGGTTATAAGCGTTTTTTGAAGACTCCTCTTAGGACACATTCATAATCACGACTGAGTGGTTATTATTTTATAATCTTGGTTTTTTTTATTTTATTTTTTATGGTGACAGGTATAACCTGAAAAAATTAACTTAAGAGGAAAGGAAGGCAAGTTTGATAGAAAGGTTAAATGCACTCAACTCTGCTGCTGCTGGTGATGAGGAGGGTGATGATAATTATGATGACTGAACGCACCAAGTAGAGATATGAGTGTTCATTGTGGACTGTTTTGTACCGATCTCTATTTTTCAGTTTTTTAACTTCAGGAACTTCGATTTTGATTAGTTAATAACTTGATATAAGATTACAAAATCTGCGTTTGGTTTATTTTTATCGATATGTTATGTCAAAAACTGCCAAGATAAAATGATCACTTGGTAGAGGGACTTTACTTTTGGTGAAATTGCAGCATTAACATTGTTTATCTGGCTTGATCTTTTTTTAAAGATCTTCATACAGTTGTAATTGTTCTTGATTATTCTTGACATTACTGATGAATCTATCCAAGTTTGACTGTTTTAACTGGTTGTGAAATGGCCCATTCTCTCTCATGCCCATTTCCCGCAACTGTTGGATTCAGTTTGCTTGACCAGGCTCTCTTACACTAGATTCTATTATTGTTGTTGATTTATCTTTACTCAAATTTAAGTAAATTTGAGTAAAAACATTAAAATAAATAAATAAATAAAAAGGGCGAAACTTAATTTGGTAAAAGTTTGAGTTAAGGAGTTGAGATTTTCTAATAATTTTTATTGATTTAAGGGTTGGAGATGTCCTAAAGAATCAAATTTGTAGTGATCTTCTTGTTTTTGTTTTTTTTTCAATTAAAAAAATTAATGTGTGCAGTAAATATTTTTTGGTAATTTTTTTGAGGGATGAGGTCTAAGCCCTCTCATAATAAAATTTTAATACATTAATGATATTCAAAAAAAAGTTTTTTATTAAAAGTTAAGCACATATCACTATTATCAAAATATCCTCAGCAAGTAATTTAATATTTTAAACTTTAAAATGATATAATTTTTTTATGTAGATATCGATTTTTAATAAATAAATAAAAAAGCAATTTTTTTAGAATTTTATCATCAAGACCTATCAAATAAGATCCAGGTTAATTATGAAATTCTTAAATAAATAAAATAATACCCGTTAAAATTGACGTAAACAGTAACATATTACCCTATTTGACACTAACATGTTACTCTTTTTCACAGTAAAATGTTATTTTAATTGACAATAAATTTTTACTATCACTACGAGTTCACAAAACAAATCACACAACTAGAGTAACATATTATTGTCATATGAACAGGGCATGAAAAAAATAAAACAGAGTACATGATCGAACAAACAACAATCAAACAAATAATTAATCAAAAATTCAACATACAATACATGGTCGAACTCAAACAACAATCAAACAATGATTGAATGAACCTTTAACTCTAACACAAACAGTAATGAAATGAAGAACAATGATCATTGAACACTGATTATTGATCAATTCAAGATTGCAATGATTGAAGAATGAACGATTATTAAAGAACAATGAACACAGATTACCAAAAAACAATGAACAATAAAGAATAGTGAACGATGATTGATCAATGATTGAACAGTGAACAATGATCACTGTTCAATAATTAACAATGATCATTGAACGAAGTTTTAATGTCAATTGCTAACAAATTTGATTCAAATCTTTGAGATATATATTCAGGGCAAGATTGTTCAGAAAAAGAAGAAAAATATTAGTCTGTCCTTTGTGAAAAACACGCCTCCTACTCAGGTGGTTTAGAAAGTAAAATTTTTCAGGTATCCTTTACACATTAATATATTGGACTTAGGAGATTTTGGCTAAATTTTTCTAATTTTTTTGGCTTTGTAAATGGGCCTTTATTTTTTACCCCCCCCAACCCAAAAAAAAAAAAAAAAAAAATTAAGGTTTTTTTTTATTTATGAAATATAATTATGTTCTTTTATTAGTGTTTTACTTTATTGAGAATACAATAAATTAACAGTACAATACTCAATCTTTTGAATAATGATTTATCTCCCTAATTTTGTCCCTCAATTCCACCTCTAATAAGGAGGCTTTGTAGGATAACTTCACATGGAAGTGGACCATGCCATTAGAGGTGAAATTGAGAGGACAAAATTAAAAGGTAGTGCCAGTCCAATCTTTTCAACATATTTTAATGAGATAAACTAGTTATCATATTATTATTATCATTTTTATTTATTTTTTTAATTTTTTTGCTGTTTTAAAAGTTAAGTTAAACACAAACTCGCATAAATTCATGAAAACTTACATTGTAGTAAGATTACATACGACAGGCATTGCCCACCGAAAAATTTTCCTAAACTAAATCTTATAAAACCTTATATTCAAAACAGTTGTACATAAAAACCCTTAATGTAGATTCAAATATAATTAGTATAGAAAAAGGACTAGTCTTCAATTCTCAAGAAATTCTAGTGAATGATAAATAAATAAACAAACAAAATACACGTAACTTAGCCCTCATGCCGCAACCATGTTTCATTGCCCAAAAAAAAATCAACATTTCCATTCTAACTATGTTAGGGTTGTCTGAACTTTTGCTGTTGCATTCAGTGCCATGGCTGCGATGGGTGATCTAACCAATTAACATTCATGTTGGGTTGAAATTTAGGCAAAACTGAATCCCGTAAGCCAAAATCTGAAAATATGGTTTTTTAAGGCGTGGAGCCATTTTTTCTCCCCACACAAGGGAGTTTCCTCCGGACTAATCCCCTAGATCTGTAACCACACATAAAACATGTAACTTTCGAGCAAGTTGAAGCCATTTTGAATTGACAAAAGGTTTTCTTAACCACCTACTACTGTGAACAATAAAAGCTATGAGCTGAAACTGATACGCTGAAATTGATACCTCATAATGCCTAAACCTATACCTATCACTAGGCATTGGTAATGTAAATGTGTTTTTAGGCAAAAGTCCTACGGTTAGTAATCACAAACAAGCAACCCAGTAAATATTTGAGACTACAAAAATAGTTCACATGAGGTCCAAACCATTCTGCTAGAAGATCTCACACATGTTTTGCACCTCATGTCCTAATCAGAACTGCAACTACAACAAAGCCAGACAAATGACACAAAGCCACCCTAATCATCATCCTCCGGATCAAAATCCTTAACCTTCACATCTGCATCTTCTCCATACTGAATGCAGTTGTCAATTTGTGACAAGACGTATTGTATACTGTCAATGGAAAAGAAGAGAAAAGACTATTGTTAGTCAAATGACACAAGCACACAGGAAACCAACAGATGTATTGCATTCATCTATTGTTACTCGGGTGGGTGCACCCTTGGCAAAGTCTGTAAAATTCAATTCTCACTTAGCTAGAAAAATCTATTGCAACTCATACAAAGAACCTAGAGGGCCTTCAAGTGTGTCTAAAGAGTTAATAAATGTCTAAACAATGAACACGTGTGTCTCCAAGTGTCCGAAGCATGTCTGTCTCTAGAAAATAACAAGACACATTTGGCCATGTATATGATGTGTGATGTGTGGGGAAGTGTCTGTGTCTGACACGAACACACCTCCTTAAAAGTTTCTGTGCTTCTTAGCACATCCATGCACAACTGGATGTACAGACTGGTTCGCCCCCCCCCAACACACACACACACACACACACACACACAGTGTACCTGCTCTCTTTCCTCAAGTCCAGAGGCACGAAGCTTACCATGCTATACTGATCCACCTGTTATAACAAAAATTGAGACTAATGAACAGTCACAAAATATTCAAACATTCCTTCCTATAATTAATAAACGCTTCCAAGAAAGATGTACAGAGCCATGACTACCAGGAGGTGGCCATCAAGGCCAAAATTAAAAACAATCATGCAATAGCAGAAATAAGAACACTTATTCATAGGGATAAAATGGCAGCAAATTATTGTATTTTACAGGGTAAAACTAAAATGTATCCATTACGGTGTCTGAGTCAAGAACCTGCACTCCAATAAGAAGCAAATAAATAGACAGTTAATACACATAATCATATGAATATAAATCACATGCATATTTACCAATCCACCATATGTATGCCTATACACAAGCAGGTAAACATAGACGACCTATCATTTAACCAAAAGGTTGACTCACGCAATTCATTATGCTGTTCATAAGGGAGAATTTCATCATGAAGATTTCAGCTAGGCTATTCTCCAGCAAGAGAAATTATTTATAAAAAATCAAAAATCAAAAAGTTTACTTAAGCAACTTCATAAGGGGATGCAACACAGGTCAACACAAAGTATGAGGGAACATGGGTTCTTACACAATCCACCTGTAGATTTAAATAACAGTAATGCACATTCTGATCTGCTTAATGACTTACTAATTCAATCAAAGCTTTGTTAAGCTTTTCAAATTGAGGAGCCATTCGTTGATTCAACTCTGACAGCAAAACATGAGACTCTGGATTCAAATAACTGAGAGCAACAACGATACAAAAGGATTAAAAGTGAAGTAAGATGAACATGAACAAGTAGAAATAGTAGCAAAATGTAAAAGGACTTACTCTTCAATGTCTCTTTTGTTTGTCACAAGATCCATTTTGGAGAGAATGTTAACATGGGGCAGTTCAAGTTGAACCATGGCAGAAAGTGAAGCCATGCAACCACTAATAAACTTGGTCACATCAGTCATGAACTGGCACACAAAAAGAAATTAGAACTCATCAGTTTCAGTAAAAAGACATGGCATCCATGACCAATGGTGAAATTAATTGAAATTAAGGTGGAGAAAACATATACAAACCTGTGAATCAAGCAAGTACACAGCACAAACATTGAAGTTCTTACGCTTTAAGTGCTCCACAAAGTTCTTAAGTACAGGAACATGTGAAAAAAGTTCTATTTGGCCTATAAAGTAATTGAAGTTCAAAGATTAAAGCATAATCCAGCCAAATAAATAAACAAATAGAACACTGAACAAATCCTAACTAACACACCATACTCCATACAAATAAAAATAAATAAATAAAGGTAGACAACTATTTATATTATTAAATTTTATTGTAAATAATTTCAAGAAATTATATTCTTTTGGAAATGTTACATATATATGAGTTAGTTGACTGTAACTTACATAACTAACTCTAGTCATCAGTTGAAAGTAGCCATAATGAGTTTTACGAATTGGGATTGTTTTAAGTTCAGAGAACAAATGAAATATGCATAGCAATTCTCCAAGCATAGTCAGTAGTTAAAAATATTTGAGAAGCCAATCAACATAGATCTCTTTGCATATAGACTCTAATGACCCTCAATGTGGCAGGAATGGTCCTTCCATTCCATCATAGAATCATCAAAAGAAGAAGAAGATACTTTGAAAGGAATTTAAAAAATAAATGAGAGAGAGAGAGAGAGAGAGCAGGTTTATGTATAGTAATTAGATAGAAGGAAGGCAGAGGTTCCACACCACATGATGTGTGTGTGTTCAATGAGTCCTTTATATGGTGTTTATAAATATGTAAAATCTATGAACACAGTGAAAGGGATGTCAAACCTTTCATCGAAGGCAACGGTTATACATGTATATGGCCGGTCAATAACTGGCCACAATATTGTCTCCAATGATTTGATTCTGTTTGACGCACAGTGTTGATCATAGGAACCATTGCTTTCAATGTTGATTTCGTGTTGTGAGAGAGAGAGAGAGAGAGAGCAGGTTTATGTATAGTAATTAGATAGAAGGAAGAAAGGCAGAGGTTCCACACCACATCATGTGTGTGTGTGTTCAATGAGTCCTTTATATGGTGTTTAACAGCCTCACCTATTCAACATAAGTAGACTAATAAGAAATGAGTCTAGGTTTAGGCTTTGCCTTTTTCATGTAATAAGGAAAACTCCTTATGCCAATTTTCCACATTCCCACTGTTACCAATTTTAACATTTTTACAGCAGAAAAACAAAATATAGAAATGAGTATAACTACCTGGGCAATCGAAAACTAAATAATCATCATCCGAGAAGTTATCCAATTCCTCTGTTAGCCACTCATCCAAATTTTCTTCAAGGTGCCTAGTGTCAAGATTTAAGGCCATACAAACTTGGAATCCAATATCAAATTAACAAAAAAAACAGAAGGTTCTTTACACAATAAAATAAATTTATCCCTTACAAGGGATGTCAATCAATGCCTTTATGCTCCTTGACATAACCGGCTCTAGCCTTACTAGAAATAATTAAGTGACAACACAATCTAAGATGAGAGAAGAAAATGATTTACAAAAACATTAAAACCCAAATGCAAAGGATACTCCATGCAATATAAAAGGCCACCATTTGGACCCAATCCAAGCTCCTCCATAACATCATCCAAAGATATGAGTTCCCTGATATCTGCAAGGAAAGCTACACTTCATTGCTCTAAAACCAAAGGAAATGAATCAATATAACTTGGTATGGAATTGAGGGGGGAGAAGGTGAACTCTAATTACCCATGGCGACAGGATAATTAAAATTTTCAGCGGCAGGATCTAAGTTCACAATATGAATTGTGCGCCTTGTTGTTTGACAGTGTTCATAGAGACGAGAGCAGTATGTAGACTGGTGAAGAAATGTAGATTGTCAGTATAAGGTGACCAGATTGAAAACATAAAGATTGATTGCAGAAAAGAAGAACAAGGTTGAAATTAAAAACAAAAATAAAAATAAAAATAAAAGGGTAAAGCTTTCTTGATAAATGGTCATCTGTGAACCCATATAAACTAGTCCAATGAAATATTTTATAGTAAGGACATAAATCAAAAGCCATAAGGATGAAACAATCAATGAAATGTCAAATGTAAACAATCACCTTGCCACTGCCTGCAGGGCCAATAACTAGCTGTGCATAACCCATTATAGCTCTTTGAAATGCTTTATCAATTCAAGATAGAGGTACGGAAGTTATCGAATATCTGGAAAATCCCAAGAACTGCAACAAAAGCATACGTGGCACACCAAACACCAGCCGCGAACAAGAAACTCAGTACATCAAAGTAAGCCATAAGCACTGACAAGAGAGCCGCAACATAAAAATACCTGAATTACCATCATATATATAAAATAAAAAGAAAAAGAAAAAATATCACATTACTTTTGTTACATATATGCTAAACAAACCTATCATTCATTTCACATTTTTACTCAATGCATCCATTTCAACAGCTCCACCACTCCCCAAAAAAAAGAGGTGGTTTAATTGGTAGTTGAATCACCTTTAATTGCACTTGCAATCAATAACCCTACCTATCAGAATTAGTAGGAGCATGCTACTCGTGATTGATTTCATAGAAACACACAGACTATTCAGGCTTTTATTTTATAAAAAACATGTAGATTATTAATAAAAGCCGCGCAAAATACATAGGTGTGTGATTGTCGCCATCTTTTGCAAAATTTGGTTGGAAAGGAATGCACGAGTTTTTTAGGACAAGTTTGAGGAAGTCAATTTGTTGTGGGACAAAGTGTGTCATTGGACGGCCGTTTGGGCGTCTACTATTTCAAATCATTTTAAAGGGGTTCTGTCCTTTTTTATTTCAAGAGATTGGAAAGCGGTTTGTAATGTATAGGAGTTTTCTTTGGGATTTTTTGTTTTGTGGTTTTCTTGTTTTGATGTCATGGTTGATTTTCTTGAAGAAGGCACCCTGTCCTCTTGTTGTTTTTGTTTTTGTTCCTTTCTTCCTAATCAATATAATTTCTTTTTGTTGCAGATAAAAAATAAAAGCCATGTACAAGACTCTTCAAAATTGTCCCATTCACTACAAATTCAAGAAATAAATCACTTGCATGTATTGCAAATCAACAAGGTTTTATCCACTTCTCAAACATGTATCATGTTATGGTATATTATAACATGGTTAATTAAACTTAGCACCCTGCGCTTTCACGGTAATTTCATTTTTGTCCCTTCACTTTTAATTGTGATAGCCATCACCCTATACTTTTAAATCAAGTTGCAATATCACTCTTTCGTTCATCTATTGTTAATAAGATTAACGAACTTGCCAGGTTGCCATGTGAGCTAAAAGCAACATTTTTTTTTCCGTTTCATTAGTGCAACTACACTTTCATTAAAGTCCAACTTAAAGCTCTTGCCTTGGTTGCTTCGCAAGCTTGCTTGCTTTGCTCAAAGTTAACCGGGAGGAACTAAAGAGGGAGGTCAAGGAAAGAAGCAGTTCCTTCCTGGAAACGTTGGTGGCTTGGCTGGCACAAGGGCCCCTGATGCGGACCAGTGCAGTTCAATAAACACCTAGCAAAGATATGGAAAACAAATAAAGTAGCCCTATGTTCAGATTTGACAATACCATCACATAATCAAAAGGTACAACAGCCCGTTTATATATCTATAATTGATTCTATCTATGAATCAAGTCAAAAGACTTCGTTTTTGGGTTCCCCAAAGCCCAGAATGGACTAAAACATCAAGAAAGAAGCAATTTCGGTGCCAAGCTACTCCTTGCACGTTGACTAAAATCTCATTTGGTCCATTCACTTTCTTTTAATTTTCGTAAACCTTGACTTAAGAGTGACATTACAACTTGACTTAAAAGTGTTTGGGGTTGATTTGTGACAATTGAAAATGAAGATTAGGGTGAAAATGCAGAACATAAGAGCAGTTACTAATTATCATCACATCCGACGAGTGATTTCAATTGATATAAATGAAATAGTCGATGAATCAAACGAATCGATCACATATCCAGAACCCTAAGCTACGATGATGTTTATCAAACTAATAAACCAGAGCTTGAAATTAATTAGTGTAACCCTAACACAAACATGCATAGGAACAAAGAAGAAGATCAATATACATATAGAGATACACACACACATATATATATAGAGAGAGAGAATACGAAACTGAGATTGTAGACGGTGGTGCTCACCAGAGAGGCGGACCGTTGAGGATTTAAGCAAGAAAAGCATGATAATGGAGGAAGAGGGAGCACAGAACAGAAGAGAAGAGTCTTTGGCTGTGCTACCTTCCTTTTTCTTTCCTACTTCGATAATACGATTTCCTACTTCGATAATATGATCCAATAAGAGTCTTTGGCGGTATTTAAGGGGTTTATGCAATGCAGGGCTGTTGCAGAATACGTTTAATTCGTTAAAATCTTATTAATTCGTATCATTTTAATTATTAATTGCGATTTAAACTTTAAAATTTATAATTCATCAATTGGATTGCTCCGTTTTGTTAAAGTTAATATATATATATTTTAATTTTTAATAAAATATTAATATAAAAATAAATGTGAGAGAAATTTAAAATATGAAATTTGTTATAAATTAGTAGTTATATATATGAAACATATTATGTAAAATTACTTTATGTTATATATCTAAAAAAAGTTATACAAATTTGTATTATATATTATGTAAATGTATGATAATTAATTAGAATATTTTTCAATCCGTTAATTCGTCAAAATCCGTTCAAACCGCAATTTGTCAATCCGTTAATCCACTAACTCGCAATTCAATTTGTAATTTTATTTTTAAATTGTCCAAACCGTACCGCGCCCGCTCTAATGCTATCCCCATCGATATTAAGGCCTAGTTTGGGAAGATTGAAAAAAGACAAAAAGTCAAAAAGTCACTATCCTATTTAAGTCACATCATCTTATTTAAGTCACATCACCTCTCTAACACATCACTTCAAACCCAACCCAAACCCAACCCATATTTCATAAAAAGTCAAAAAGTACACTTATTTAGTCTTCCCAAACTAGGCCTTAGTAAGATCGGATTTTATCAACTACAACTTGTCAGTGAGATGTAGTGTTAGGCAATCTTTACTGTATTTAAATAGATTAAATTTTGTTGTGTACAAAACAACAACAAGAATAAAAGAAATAGATAAAAAGGGAGAGAATTTGTTTGATTACAAAAATCAAACATGAAATAATAATAAATAAATAAAACCACAGATTTTATTTTGTTACAAAAACAAAAATAAAATCTGATTAAATAAACAAATAAAAACAGAATAAAATTAAACAACTTACTTGGTTAATTTATTTGAATAACTTTTCTGATCAAGTCCAGTGTTTAACACTGTGTCCTTAAGACAGATTCGTCCTCTCCACGGTGCTATCAGAATTTGGACGTCTATCTCCCAGGATAAAATGATCTACTACAAACAATAGCAGCACTACAAATTGTTTGCCTTACGAACACACTAAGTGTTTCTACAGTATAAAAAAAAAATTCACAATTTTATGAATTTTTTTTTGTTTTTAATGAATTTTTTTTATAAATTTGTATCAATTTTTAAATTTTTTTTTCCAGATTTGTCTACTTTATGAGCACTTAAAAAGTAAAAATAAATGTTTACTATAAATTTAAAGAAAAATCATTTTTAGTAAATTTTTTTTTTAAAACAATATATATTTTAATTTTTGTCTATTTAATCTTAATATAGGATCTAAAAGTGAAAAGAAAAATGATTTTCTTTCCTTAAAAATTTACTAAAGAAGAAAAATGTAACAACCCTCGTCACTGTTTACCGATTAACAACTGATTACTACTAAACTGGGATTGATTATGAAAAGTAATTGAACTGATTGAAATACTGAATTGACTGACTGAAATCTGAAACTGATTGATTGACTGTATCCGTTTAAATGTACTATCTATCTGTTTGACTGTCCGATTATCTGTTCATGTTTTTATGGTTAAATTGCAAATTGAAGGCCTTATCGGCGGTCGAACTAAAAATTGATTGATGATTTGTGATCTTTAGAATTAATGTGATTTTATGGCATATTTAGGTCTAGTTTGGGAAGATTGAAAAAAGATAAAAAGTCAAAAAGTCACTATCCTATTTAAGTCACATCATCTTATTTAAGTCACATCACCTCTCTAACACATCACTTCAAACCCAACCCAAACCCAACCCATATTTCATAAAAAGTCAAAAAGTACACTTATTTAGTCTTCCCAAACTAGGCCTTAGTTAAAATATGATTTAGTACGATTAAATTAGATTAATTATTGATAAATTGTAAGTTGGCCTTATTTACAATTATGCCACTTAAGTGGCCTATCATCTAACCATTTGAGCCTTACACACTTGATCACATAACACACTTCATCAGCCCTTTTTCCTTGTTCTTGCCGGCTTGAGAGAGTGAGAGGTAGTGAAAGCTTGAGTTCTTCACAATTTGGCTTGAATCTTAAGGAATTGAAAGCTTAAGTGCATAATTGAGCCTCTCGACTTGTAATTGAGGAACCTAGGTATGAATTTCATCCTTCTTATTGTGTATTTAAGTCCCTTCTAGCATGGATCATGGTAGTTTAAAGAGCTAAGGCAAGAATTGGTTCATTAATGTTGAATTGGAGCTCATTCCATGCATGCATGTTTGAATTATTGAATTTTGAGTTGATTCCATGGAGAATTGTCACATGCATGCTCATAGTTATGTTAAGTCCATGTTTTCATCTTGTCCTTGGAAGAATTGGCTCATTAGAGCATGAAATTGAAGCTTTGAAATGGTTTAAATTCATGCATATTTTTCATATTCATGAAAATTGGTCTGAATTGAGTTGTTTGAAACACCCTTTGGCTTTGATTTTACAAATTAAGTTTTGAATCATGTTAAAGTATGAGTTTTGGGATGTTTTCTGGAAAAATTGGCCCAAGAGGATCAAAATTCATGGATTAAAACTTGGTTTTGAGCTTGAGGTTCAAATCTGGAATTTTCAGAATTTGGACTCACGCTCGAGCGGGGTCACTGGCGCTCGAGCGTGAAATTCGTGCTCCCAGTATTTTGTTCTGTTTTGAAGTCCACTCGAGCGGTATAATTGACGCTCGAGCGGGACATTGTGTCACATGCTCGAGCGGGTGTCGAGCGCCCAATCGAGCGTGATTTTCACATATCCAGCACTTTTGACTGTTTTGAAGAACGCTCGAGCGGGTAATTCTACGCTCGAGCGGAAACCTTTGTCTGCATATCCGCTCGAGCGGAGTAACCTACGCTCGAGCGTGACCTCTGTTTTCTGAAAATTCTGAAAATGCTTTTAAAGTACATCTTTGCATCCTCATCTCATCCTCGGCATTATTAGGCCTAGTTTAAGGCATCTTAATGAGGATATAGATGTAGAACCACACTAAGGCAAATTAGGGATTAAGTTATTATCTTTCTCAACTGTGTAGCTTAGTGTGTGTTCAATCTGTAACTGTGTAGGGCTGGCGACTGGGGACGCGCTCTAGCTTTACCGTAGCCCAGAACTCTGTGAGTAACAACTGTGTAAAGATATGTTCAAAATGATTATCTTCTGAACAATTGAACTATACTGCTTTTCTGAACTGTTACTGTTAATTGAATGAATGTATGTCCTATATTCTGAATTGTATTGTGGCATCCTCAGCAACTACTGTTTACTGTTACTGTTACAGAGATCTCTGTCGGTTCCCTTGTTGGAACCACTACTGTTACTGATTGATGGCCATCATTTACTGTTCGGTTTTTTAAGACATATTGTTTACTGTACTGTTATACTAATGGATGTACCACATATGACTGTATCGACTAAACGACTGAAATACTAATTTAATGAACTGTTTTCATTACTGTAAGGACATCCATTCTGAACCCCTTTACGCATTGTGTTATTCACTGGGCTTTAGCTCACTGCTCATATATATATGTAGGTGTATAGGCACCAGACCGTGGTTAGAAGCGTCAGGGTAAGCTCCAGTTTTGTCAAGCCAACCACTGTGCCTCATTGCGAGGTTCCGAGCCCGTCAAGTTATGGCTTAGGGGTGTTTTAGTTCCCCCTTCTGTCTCTGTAACCGTTTTGTTTACTGTACTATACTGTTTAATAGGGATTAGGTCCCTGAACTGAATGATTGTATATATATACATACTGTTTTGTCCGACTGTATATATTTGAATGAAAAGTCTTTTTGCATACAGACTGTCACAGCTCATTGGACATTGTTTATTTACTGTATTGGCTTCCGCCAGCCCCTGTACTCTGTATTACTGTATTACTGTTAAGCAGGCCTTCGGTAATCTCGGGTTACTGGCCGGTTACGGTGCTAAACCCACAGGAGCGGGTTTGGGTCGTGACAGAGTGGTATCAGAGCGATACTTACCACGAGTTCTACCGCACACACGTGTCCAAATGAGCTATATGATGTCCTAGAAAAGCGATTAGGGCATTACATGAGCATGATAAGTGTGTGTGGCTATGACATGACTGAATGTATGCTAATGTGTTAATCTGTTTAAACAAATGACTGCCTATGTTGATGACTGTTATAACTGCCTGTAGTGTAATGGATAATGCGAGAACTGCAAATGAATCTGAATCCTCATCCTCTGAGGCAAGAATGGCAAGATTGGAAAGAATGATGGAATTAATAATTGAATGGATCAACAACAGAATCAACAGCCCCCACCTCCTCCTCCGGTATAGCCGGAGCAGAATGCCAATGTTAATGATGGGGACATAATTGCTCTCACCCATAAGTTTAGCAAAATGAAACCGCCGTCCTTTCAGGGAGGCCTTGAACCATTAAAAGCTGAAGCATGGGTTCTTGAGACTGAAAAATTGTTTGAGGTTTTTCCGTGCTCTGAAGCACATAAAGTGCTATTGGCCACCTTTACTCTGCAAGAAGAAGTCAGAAGGTGGTGGATGCTTATCCGTGATAACAACACCGTAATGACTTGGGCTCAATTCAAAGGAGCCTTCTTCGAGAAGTATTTCCCTCAGTGTGTTAGGGATAGAAAGGTGACTGAGTTTGAACAACTGAAACAAGGCACCATGTCGGTGGCTGAATATGAGACAAAATTTACTGAACTTGCCCGTTATGCACCACATATGGTCGACACTGACTACAAGAAGGCCAGAATGTTTGAAGGCGGCCTTAATGTTGCAATACTCGGTAGAATAAATGTTCTGAAATTACCGAACTATGTAAATGTTCTTGACCGAGCCTTGATGGCTGAATCGAACATCGAAGCACTGAAAACTGAAACACCAGCATCTGAATGGCGTGGTAAAAGGCAGGGTTTTAAATTTAAGAAAGGCAAGCATTACCCATT